GGGTCGTTCAAGAAGTAGACTAGGGAGGTAATAAATTGACCTGGTCAAGTCCGACGAGTCTGTGGGATTTTGTGGGCGTGCCACTACTGGGACCAATATGGGATGGTCGATTGAGAGCAGCCCCGTTAGGATTTGATGTTGAGAGATGGCTTGTCGTTCAGCAAGGCTGGCTCACAGTCGTAGAGTCGCTGGAGGCGTACAACGTTGAAGGGGGGGGGGCGTAATACGCAAATGTGAGAATGGTACTTGAGGGTACAGTAGGAGTGGAAGCCGTTTGAGATGTCTAGTTTGGTTGTCAACGGCGTGATGATGATCATGAGGATCAGGAGTAAAAATTGGGTCGTTGGCGTGGAGGGAGGCGAGGGGACAAGGCTTTTACATTCGTGGTGGCCGGGCTTTTCTTTGAGGAGTGACGACTGACGACAGAGAGAAACCCAACTGCCAGAAGGGCGGGCGAATGTGCGCGGGAGAGACACATCGAAGCTATGATGTCGGTCTTCCTCTGGACGCTGAATGGGGTGGGTCGAGGGAAGGGGGTCGCCATAACAGCGAGGCCACTGACAGGGATAAGGGTTTGGGAAAAGAGGGGATAGGTACAGTAGAGCGGAAGGAAGGGGAAGAGGGGGGGGGTGTGGTGGAGAGGCGAAAAGAGGAAGGGTCCAGCGACGGGGAGGAGAGAGGGGGGGATGTCTGTTTCTTTCAAAAGGCGCCCAGGGTCCGCAGGGACAGGGACGTGAAGCTGGGGGTACCGGTACCGGTAGCAGCATCGGTATTGGTGCTGGCGCTGGCGCTGGCGCTGGCCGGTGCTTGTTCATGCCTGCTCCTCCAGCGTGCTTGGTTGGGGCCGTAAAACAGTCACTTTTCGACCTGTCCGTGCTCGGTGCAGTCGCCCCAGTACGGGGACCGGCAAAATGGCTGACATTAGAGGGTGAGTGCCAATATCGTTTGCTGTTGATTCATGTCGGGAAGAACATGGCGTCTCGTAGTCTCCTCAACCGATCAAACCCATGCCCATCTTCGGGACCAGCGTCCTGCCAGTACCAAATAAGCCGCTGGATCGTGTTTCCCTGATCTCTGATGGAGACCAATATGCAGGGTCTGACGTTTCAACCGTGGCGGCTTGAGGCGCATCGCTGCCCTGACTCGGAGTGGCGTTGACGATGTGGTAAATGCGGGATAGCTCTGAGCTTAGACGGGCAACTAGGGGCAACTTTGACTGACTGGCAGCAGGAATTTGATGTGTGTGAAGACGTATGGACAGCGCTGTTGGTCGCATGCCCGCCGCCCCGTAGGTCAAGTTGAGGGGCCGCAGGACGGAATGGGGCAAAGCCACGGCCGGGTGTCTGTTTCCCGCCGCTGCAAGCCCCCCTCGTCAGCGTCAGCGACGCCTGTGCGCTTCTAACGAAGGTGAACGCACTCTGGAGAGAACCCCCTCCTCCGTCGAAGCATGCGCTGTCAAGAAATGTGATATCAGTCCATGACAAGAAGGATTTCTCAGAGTCGTCATGTGATTCTTTCACCACTAGCAGAATTGGCATGTCTGCGTGGCAGCGGCTGCATAGACGGAACACATCCACCTGCAACTGTCGCTGTTTCCTTCCCTCAATCCTAACCACAGCTACTTGGTGGGCACGTTGGACACCCAGTGATAGCCTGGGGCTCTTGGGGGCCTGTCTCTCTGGTTCAGTGTGGCAGCGTGATGCGCGATGTGGTGGATTAAAAAAAAGTCGAGTGGGGGAATGGACAGGATGAATGTGGATGCGGATGACGGCAAGGATGGGAAAGAGAGTTCCACAGACGTACTGCCTGCCACTGAGCATCGAGAAAAGGTCAAGTGTGAGGATAGGGCTTTTGGCAGAAGAGTGGGGTCACGGGGGCGTTGATGCAGTAGAATGACGTCGGTGGGAGCAGGGGCGCTCCTTCTTGAAACAAACACCGCCCAGCATCCACACTGGGGCCTTCTCTCTCTCGCTCACTCACTGTTGCTGTCACTGTTCACGTAGGGGACCGACCTTCTCCCCCCCCCCAAATCGCCGCTGGGGCCCCCCTTTGGCGTCCCCTCTGGTGTCGCATCCCCTCCGCTAGGTTCCATCGCTTTTGCCCGCCCGTTGTGTCATCAGCCAATTTCCAATGGCTGGCACGCATCCACTTGTTGTGTGCGACATGGGACGTGGATGTGGGGGCTCGAAAAGCCCGCCAGCCAGACGCTGATGCGGTGGACTGGACGGGCTCATCGTTCGGGAAAAAGGGAATGCGGTGTGATGCGGCAGTAGATGCCAGTTGAAAGCTTGTTCCTCGAACGGGGGGGCGGTGGCAGTGCTCGCATGTGTACTGAGTTGCTGTTACAGGCTGTTTTTGACCTGACGGCGAAAGAAAAACTGGCGCGCACCTCTCGTGTCGGGTCGGGGCATGACATCGGTGAACCGGGGTCCAACAGGCAGCCTTGCCTACGGTGCTCAACAGTGACATCAACAGTCCCAGCGCAAAGCGACGGCATCACTGCCATCCGTACCCTGGATATCTTTCTCGCACGCCCACCACTCCACTTAGCTGCCTGCCCTTTACTCCCGATGTGTCTGATGGACAAGCATCGTGTTCTTGTATAGACTGCAGATTGGGGAAACAGGGAGCTTATTCCAAGCGCACCGCAGAGGATGGCCGCCCCGCCAGTCCAGTAGCTCGACTGGGGGACAGTTTGTGCGCCTGGGAACAATGACGCTGGGACATGAGGTAATCATGTCACCTCCGCAGCCTTGCCTGTTGCCTTGCTTCCTTCAATCGTGGTGGGTTTCGTCTGACGTAGTGAGCTGAACCGTTTTGACGTCGCGTAGCATCGCGTTGCATCGCACCGCATTTCGCCAAAAGCCCATTGTGATCCTATTGACGTGCAAGCCCCTCCATGAACGCCCAGTGTCAGTCCCGTCGAGGCATCCGAAATTGCTGCCTCATCATGTTGCATCGAACCCTTTGCGGCGATATTTGTCAACGCATTGAGATGACTGTGAGGATCTAACATGACCTTGTCTGCTTGATCGGGCCTGCCCGTCCGGTCGCTGGAGCACCCTCGTCTGGGCGCCGACGGCGCTACTCCGAGCTCCGACGACAATTCGCTGGTCGCTGGTGCCATGTTAGGAGTACCACCAAGCCTGGATGTGCAGGGCAGGTCAGCCCGCTCTGGAGGCCGTCTTGTCTCGGTAGGTTCTGGTCCACGATGCGTAATGGGAAAAAATGGGTCCTGCAGAACCGAGGATATCGTCCAACCTGCTTTCACGCCCAACGTCTCTCTTTCGCTCGGTTCCCTCTCTTTCTTTCTCTCTCTCTGTCTCTCTCGGTACTTGACTGAACCGATATCCGCCAAAAAGCAAGCGTCTTGGAGAGGACCCACCCTAGGCCTCTTCGTCGTCCTGTGAGATGATGGATGATGGGAGTGGCGCCGCACTAGCTGGCCTTACCGCTGCAGGCCCCGAACGGTGCGGCAGGGATACGTGATGTACCTATACCGAGTCTACCCTGTGCTCTCCAGAGCCAGTTCAGCGCCAATGACACCATCTTTAGCGCACAACAGACGGGGCGGCGGAAGAGCACACGCGCGCCTTTGCCAACAACGCTTTTCTGCCGACCCGAAATGCCACCAATGATGGCATGCTCATGCCTGCTCTGTTCTTCGTGGCGGCTGAATGCAAATGCGATGAAGATGAAGAAGGAAGGCGCGGAAAAAGGGCGCCCTGACAGAGCTTGACACCATACCCCCCTTCGCAAGACCACGGCCAGCAGCCATGTCTTAGAGTTGCGGACCGAATGTGCCATCAATATGCGCGAAAGTGCACGATACGACGCCGAGGCTTGGGAGTTGGGTCGGTCTTCTCATCATCTTTGCCATCTACTTCGCAACCATGCATGGCGCAGACGTGCCACCGGGATACTTTTTTCAATGTCGGCCGTGCGCCCGCCATTTCCTCAAGTCCGGCTAGAACATATTCGTCCCTATTCCCCATCATCAAATCTTGGCAATGGCGGAAACAGTCCGGGTGCGCTGACATCCGGTCGTGTTGACGAAATCCCGCGCGACCTAGTGCTCTTAACATCCCTATGGAGGGGTTGACTGATGCACTCTTCTTGGTTGGCACACAGCCCCCCGGATTGCCGTTGTGATTGTGGGGAGGCGACCGTCAACATGGCCGTCAGTGTCTGTGACCGCCTTGTCAACACCGTCGTAGTGTATCCTCTCTAAACTATCCGGAAATGGCCGTACACAAGCGCAGTTTCGTAGGCGACACACAACCATCCATTCGAGATGGAACGGGTTTAGCATCTTGCCCCGATGTCACCGTAGCTTTCATGTCTTGGATATTTCATTTTGTCGTGAATGAGACGAATCCTTAGATGTGGTCTAGCGGGTTGAACAGATGTCATCCAAGCAAAAGCATGTCTGGGTCTTGGGCACTTGGGCACAAGGTGGAGGGTCGAGGTGCCGGAGCGTCCATCCTCGAGATGTCTGGTACGTTCATCTCGAATCCCGGCCAGCTAGGCTTTTTCAGGCCATCGCTTTGTAGCCGTAGGCCTGATTTAGACACATGAAACACGCTAGACCTGGGCACCCATGCTCCAAGGCCGTTGGAGAGCCCTTCGAGGTCGCCGATCATAGTTGACAGGGTGAGAACAGACGGGGCGCAAGGGGAATTTCGGAAATCTTTACTCAATAGCACGTCAACGTCGTCAAGGCTGACCCGGCAGATGCTTGCTTCGTGCCGCCACACTGGTTGGTGTACTTGATAGCACCCGTCACAAAGCTTGCAGGAACCAAGAAGGGGTTCGAGCCAAGCCAGCAGCTATTGACTGACGGCGTCGAAGCCAATGATGCGGGACCTCATCCGCACCAGTCGTTTAACTCCCAGACTGTTAAGGCATAAATAGGACATGACAGGCTTGCGTTCCAGCCCTGGCCAGAGTCAGAGCCGGTCCTGGATATGCGGGTGATTGTTTAAGAGGGGCGATGATTTCGGGATGCCAGTGGGCCTCTATTCAGATACCCGACGAAATGATGGTGCCGATCCTTTGACTCGATGGCAAGCTGGGCCCGGCACATGACCAGGCAAGACTAATGTCCAAGAGCCCAGGACAGCCACAGCGTAGCATCGTGGGTTGCTGCAAGAAACGAAACATCCTTATCGGTACGCCAGGCGTCAATGATGGACGATCATGTCGATTCTGTGGGGTCCCTACGACTGACAGCTTCACGGGATGCAACGCCGGTGGTGAATTCTAAACAACAGAGATCGAAACTGCCAGCTGCCGGGTCGAGAACATTGACGGGATGGTGGCTTTTGACGATCCGATCTGACGGCACTGGCCCTTGATGCTCCAGGAGTTTTATTCAGTCGTCGAACTGGATTTTGGCATGGTTCTCTGGTGATTTTGAGATCATCATTTATCATCAGACGACAGCGGCGCAAATGCCCCTACCTCCACAGGGTGTCCCAAAAGAGACGCGGCGAGAAACCGAAATGTAGCTGCCTTCCCATTCTGCCGATGCAATTTATCGTTAAGATGAGGACATCTGTAAATGGTCTGCACAAGACCTTGAAGCTTGCGCGAGACCCGAGAGCCTTCACTTGATGCTTGCAAAGTCTTTTCGACAATCTCAAGATACCCTGCCATTCGACAAGGGGTCGTCTCAGAATCGACAGGGTTCCCCAAGGACGGGTCACGTTGGAAGTCAGTGAAGGCGAACATTGGACCCTACCTCTGCACGACCCACAGGGGCTTGAATGATTACTGGCCGTTTCTTGTCGTATTGCAGATGAGGCGGTTCTCCCCTGCTTTCCGTGTCTCTCGACGAAAACCTGACGCCAACAGTAAATTGTCCGCAAACAAGACAGGCGTGAGAGGGGCTCGCGATACTGGTTGTGAGCTCCGCATGACGAGTGAGGTCGTGATGTCCAGGGGTCCCCGCGGCTGTCCATCAACTTGGACCACATGACAGCTCTCTCTTAAGCGGCCAGTACAGGCAATGACTCGCCCTCCCATGGTAACGGGGAGGCGGACCTGGCGGGATGGCGCTGCCCAGCTGTCGGGCCGTCTTAAACGACACTTTCCTTTGCTCTATTCACTTGCCCAGTTCGACAGGCATCCGGACCCTCATGCGCCCGATTTTGGCGTGCCGTCGCTGCCTCATTGCTGAATGACTGGGTGGCGTAGTGAGTGACCGGGCTCAATTCCAAGAGCAGCTGGTGGGTCAGGGAAGATGCGGACGCGCGTCTGGGAAGCCATCTTTGTCTGCTTCAGACCGAGTCAAGCCAGGCAAGGCTGGTCGGAAATGGTCCGAAGGTACTAAGCAGCCAGCACCCTAGAGATGTAGCGACGTCGTCCGGATGCGCTCACGCGAAAAGCACCCCGTACCCAATTCAGCAGATGCCATGTCATGGGACAAAGGTGGTTTCCTGGATGTGGTGATTCGGTTCCAGGTACATCAGGCGTAGACTTGAGGCTGTCCTACAGTCCAAGGTACCCAAACGGTGTTATAGAGAGTGGCGTTTCTCTTCAAGCAGCGATAGTTGTTGGTTCTTTTCGATAACGATGCTGGTGGTACTCAAGCTTGTGCCTGAACTAAGGTAGGCCAGGTTCTCCCTCAGCGCCGCGAATCGAAAATCAAGCAGTCGCAAACACATCGGCTACCACTGTCCTTGAATCCTTAACGTGACAATATGACCTCCTACCCCCTTCTTCAAATCATGCGAGGGCCAGACAGGCATAATCTCGTTGGCATGTTGAAGCAGTCGCCATATCCCTGCTTGGCTTGTAGGTATCTGTCGGGTAGGTAGGTACATTGGGCGTAGTTGGCAGGTGTCAGAGAAGGTGCCGATCGATAGGAGAGTCTTGCATCCTGGCGTGCGCGCTTTGGGCTGCTTCTCATAGAAAGAAGGAATACCCAGGAGGTTGAGGGCAGTTGCGATCCACGAATTCGCTGCCTAAAAGCTGCAGGGACCTTGCCTACAATTGGCCGCGTTACGATCGTGGGATGTTTCGAGTCGTCAGTGACATCATATGGACTGGTCTCGCCCTCCATTTGAAACGACAGCAAACTCCCTGCGAGAACGCCCGACGACGCCCATTGCCTCTCTTTGTCGTCTACTTAACTGAATGATTCCCTCTCCCCTGAGTGGCTTTTTTCAACTGTATTCAACCTCGCGACCAGCCCTGAAGATCACCTACCACACGGGACATGGGATGGGACCAAGGACCGCTTTCAACCACGAGAATGTGCGGTTGATGGATCACGTGACGATACGAGAGACGCTCACCTGACAACCGCCATTCATTGAAGAGGGATCGACCCAACACGAAGAGTTCGTCGCCATGAACGCTGCGACATACCATTTTCTAGAGCACATCGATCGAGAAGATGGTCTGGGACAGCTTCTGAGACCCCACGCCACCAACGTCAGTACATTCTAGCGTACGATGATGTACAGACACGACACTGCACGCGACATCCACGACGACAAACCGGCGCAACAGCCCACTCATCAGGGAGATCAACGTGTCTTGGGCTCTCTATGCTGTTACAGGTCGAAACATGATGCGTCATGAGGTGAACATCGCATTGCAACCTGGCGTTCTTGACAGGAAGAATGCCCACCAGACTGCCCATAAGACTGCAAGGCTGAGCATCTCGGACGTTGACTGTCATGCATTCATGCAAGCAAGTGCGCCGCCATTCTGACTTGCACATATTACACTGGCGCATCAATACGCGCAGTGTCTTCCGACTCGTCTGAACACCCCGACAACGGACCGTCAGTGCAGGGAAAGAATAAACCAAGGTATGCCATCTTCGTCACCTCCATTCAGGCGTTGACCCTTGGCTTGTCCCGAATATTCTGAGACACGGCAACCCAGTCTGCCCGATTGTTCAGTCTTTTTCTCGCTGCAACCGGGCCTGGGGGACAGGTGTTTCACCAGGGAAATGAGCTCAGTGCGCCTAACACAGCTGGGGGAAAGAGGCGCCCGCCATCTGACTTTTCCTGTACCTGCCCTGCCCAGCACCAGCAGCAGGCTAAGGCGGCCCCCTTTCAAGGGGATATGTCCACGAGCTGTTTGGCCGAGAAGCGCCGAAACAAACAGTACGCACTGCCACACAGCGGCTGCCACTCATCTGCTTCCCAGGCCTCTGATTAGGTTGAGCCGTCTATCCCGGCAGAGAGTAAAAACGACTGTTTGAGTCAAGTATGAAGAACGAGAGAGCAAGACAAACATTCATGTACCGCTACTTGAGGCTGGCTGCTCTACATCGACACCACCGCCTGGTCAGCTTGCACGTGAAAGAAATGCACACCTGAGTCGCTAGGCTGGAGTCTACGGCAGTTGCGGGCGATCGACGTCTGCCTGAGTCACGGCTGTCTTCGTCTGAGTCCATGATGGGCAAATCTCCTGTTCATCCCGTCCCCTGCCACCTGGTAAGGCTCCGTGGATCGCCATTCATCTCGTGATGATCACGCCCCTTTTCCGTGAGCGGTTACAGCCGCGCCATGTGCTTTTACTGATGCTTCGTGCCCTCGTGTGTAAAGCTTGTGCGAGTTTGATGTCTGCATCTCCGCCTTGGCCAAACGTTGAGTAGTGTTGGGGTATCGTGGAACTGGGATGGAGGCCAGTCGGTTGCTATCATTACTGGACACATTGTGCCAATTCGCTTGCGGGCCTCACGGGGTACCGCAAGAGAGTTTGCGCTGATATCCAGCGTGTGCATATACTACGCAGTAACAAATTTGGTATACATCGTAGGCGTACGCTTCATGCTTCGATGCACCCTGGCCTCGGAAATCGATGGCTTCTCGTTCTCAAAGGCGGGCGTTTGATAGAATATGACAGAAGGGCGATTTGACGACTCGTCGATTGCTAACTGTGGCGGATGATGTATTGCATCATTCGATCGCTCTCATGTCGTCCTGGGCGCTTCTTTTGAGGTTGCATACCGAATATAACCGAACTCCAATTTCAGATTTGTAGGAGGAATAGGGACAAGCAACAGCAACTGATTCTTTATGAACCCCGGAGAAGCGTTGCAGAGATGCCCACTAGCATTTGCCCGGTCTGGACGGTTGATTGACCAGATAACGGGTTCAATTGTAAAGAACATTTGTTTGCTAGGCCAGTCTCCCCCGTAGGGGTTGGTAATAGCGTGTTCATTGAAGCCTTGTTGAGCTAATTTGATGTAGAAGTCGTGGAAATGTAGAGATTAGCTCAACACATGTGCGATCTTACTGAGGGCTTGTAAGTGGCATGCTTCAATTCAAACCCACGATGAGTGGAGGATACTTGCTCTTCTAATATCTATCTCGGACGATTGTTCATCCATCCAGCACCTGAGGTCATAGATGTGCAAGGTCTACCCATCCATTATGCCTCCTATGAGATGTACGACATCCGCGTCAGCCTTGTGTTGTGCTAAAGGCGTCTACTGGAGCAGACAACAGCCGCAGCTCTTGGCCGACTTGTTGGAAAAGATACAATCACGTCAAGACAAGCTCCCCATGGTACACACGCTGGCGCATTTGGCATTTCACAAATCGGCCTGTCAATATTGTTGATCTTTCACATACCCTTGATTACTGCCATGTACTCCAACCTCCTGTCAGCATTAGCAAGGGGGAAATTACATTCGCCGTCCTATCACAATATTCGGCATATGCCCTCCCATAGCCTAGGAACTATCCTACTCAGTATCGTCGGGCATCGGCCACTGCTGTACACCATTCTTCTGCACACTAAGTTTCAGTTTATCGAGCACTGCCTGCCGTTTCGCACGCTTGCCCATGAGCTCGCTTTTCTCATCCGAGCTAAAGCCGCTCAATTTCTTCCGTGGCGTCGTGCTTCGACCGCCAGAAGACATGACCGAAGACATGAGTGAGTTGCGTGGGTTGCGGGGCGACTCGCTGCGTAGGTGATCGGGGGAGAACATGACAGAGCGGTTGTTTTTCTGCGGCGTCGTCAAGGGAGAACCTTCGCGGCTGTTCGCAGATGCGAAACGGAACTTGCGCATCTGGTTCTCCAGCACATCGATATCGCCAGATCGCTTCTCAACCATGCTCGTCATCTTGTTAATCGTACGCAGGACGGCCTCAACAGTAGGCACCTTTTGGCCACCCTTTCCAGAGGCGCTGTTCAAGGAAGCAAGCTTCGTTTTAAGCAGTGTCAAAGCTTCCTCGGCTTCTGCGAGGTGCTTCGAGAAGGTGGCGTATTGGCGACGTAGCTCGCTTTGCTGTGATGCCTGTTCCGCGCTCAGAGGCATGGATTGACTGACCTCAGCTTGGTCAGGGTCGACCTTGATCATGATGAGTTTTTTCAGATCTCTCTGCTTCGTACGCAGGCGTGACATCTCCTTTGACAAATCTTGGCATGCTTCGAGCTTCTCCTCTACGTCCCGTACTCTGCTGTCCTCAAGGTCCTGGGTCAGGTCCCGTTCGATAACCTCACCGAGCTCATCAAGCTCGCAAAGAACCCAGTCGTCTGCATTTTCAAGGTCTTCTTTGTCTCGTCCACCCTCTTTGTAGTTCTGTCTGTGGCCCTGAACGAAGGCTGAGAGCGATCGCGCATTCAGACCGAGTGTGTCGATCATGGAGTTGATATCGCGATATACCGCCTCCACCTGAGAAGGAATCGTCTCTTGGGCCGACGGCACGACATTTGTATGGGCAATGAAGTCGTCTATGACAAGAGTTGGTTCGA